GCCCCTCAGACCCCCCTTCATTCTAGATCCCTTGTCACTTTTTAACTTGTCGGGGCTGGGGGGCTCCACCACCTTTTTCTTCACTTTCTCCCCTTTCTCCACCTTTTACGCCACTTTCTTCTCTTTTTTCTCCACATTCACCACCCCTTTCTCTCTCTCTCTCTCTTGTTTACGCAGGATTAAAATGCACGGCGTTCCGGCGCCACCGGGCGTCGAACCAGCGATCCTCTGCGCGCCAGCTGGGAAGACCGGTGGAGGCGGCCGACACTCTAAACGAGTGTTGAGCTCCAGAGTCGCTAACCAGGACTCGAACCGAACGTGTGACCCCACCAATGCATTGCTCTCCGAACGAGGAATCCGTTGGTGGGGTCTCACTTTCGGTTCTAGTCCTGTTCAGCGACTCTTGAGCTCAAAACGCGTCTAGAGTTTCGGCTGCCTCCACCGGTCTTCCCAGCTGGCGCGCAGAGGATCGCTGGTTCGACGCCCGGTGGCGCCGGAACGCCGTGCATTTTAATCCTGCGTAAACAAGAGAGAGAGAGAGAGAGAGAGAGAGAGAGAGAGAGAGAGAGAGAGAGAGAGAGAAAGGCCATGGAGTGCGGGTGGGACCTCGGGGAAGGCGAATTTGCTCACGGAACATTTTCTCGGCGCATTCGTTGCGAGCGCCGGCCGGGCTGCGGGGGGTTGCGGCTGGAGCCGGCTGGAGTGATGGTGACCACCCTGGGACCCTTATGCGCGCCGGCGACACCAAGTGTGGGAGAGAGAGGGGGAGGGGAGGGGGCCTCAGTGAGAGTCTTCAGACGAGTTGCATGCCTCAGCCATATGTCTCGCCCTCGTCCCGTCTCTCTCCCACTCCCTCCATGTGCACTCCACTGAGCCGTAAGAATAGAATATACCGGATCGGCATCGCGCGCGTTCTCTCTGTCTGTCTGTCTGTCTCTCTCTCCTGTCCCTCATCCTCACCACAACCCGTCGTCCTCTTTCACCGTCCTCTGAGAAAGGGGTGGTGAAAGTGGCGGACAAAGAGGAGAAAGTGGAGAAAGGGGTGGTGAAAGTGGAGAAAGTGAAGAAAAAGGTGGTGAAAGAGGAGAAAGGGGTGGTGAATGTGGAGAAAAAAGAGAAGAAATTGGAGAAAAAGGTGGTGAAAGAGGAGAAAGTGGAGTAAAAGGTGGTGAAAGAGGAGAAAGTGGAGTAAAAGGTGGTGAAAGAGGAGAAAGTGAAGAAAAAGGTGGTGAAAGAGGAGAAAGGGGTGGTGAATGTGTCTTTTTTCTCCACATTCACCACCCCTTTCTCCTCTTTCACCACCTTTTTCTTCACCTCCGGCAGGCAATCGCTTGTCCATTGTCGGTTATTCACTTTCTCCTCTTTCACCACCTTTTACTCCACTTTCTCCTCTTTCCCCACCTTTTACTCCACTTTCTCCTCTTTCACCACCTTTTTCTCTAATTTCTTCTCTTTTTTCTCCACATTCACCACCCCTTTCTCCTCTTTCACCACCTTTTTCTTCACTTTCTCCTCTTTCACCACCTTTTACTCCACTTTCTCCTCTTTCACCACCTTTTTCTCTAATTTCTTCTCTTTTTTCTCCACATTTACCACCCCTTTCTCCTCTTTCACCACCTTTTTCTTCACTTTCTCCTCTTTCACCACCTTTTACTCCACTTTCTCCTCTTTCACCACCTTTTTCTTCACCTCCGGCAGGCAATCGCTTGTCCATTGTCGGTTATTCACTTTCTCCTCTTTCACCACCTTTTACTCCACTTTCTCCTCTTTCCCCACCTTTTACTCCACTTTCTCCTCTTTCACCACCTTTTTCTCTAATTTCTTCTCTTTTTTCTCCACATTCACCACCCCTTTCTCCTCTTTCACCACCTTTTTCTTCACTTTCTCCCCTTTCACCACCTTTTACTCCACTTTCTCCTCTTTCACCACATTTTACTCCACTTTCTTCTCTTTTTTATCCACATTCACCACCCCTTTCTCCTCTTTCACCACCTTTTTCTCCAATTTCTTCTCTTTTTTCTCCACATTCACCACCCCTTTCTCCTCTTTCACCACCTTTTTCTTCACTTTCTCCTCTTTCACCACCCTTTCTCCACTTTCTCCTCTTTCTTCCTCCCTTTCTCTTCCTTTTTCTCCTCTTTCTCCACCTTTTACTCCACTTTCTTCTCTTTTTTCTCCACATTCACCACCCCTTTCTCCTCTTTCACCACCTTTTTCTTCACTTTCTCCACTTTCACCACCCCTTTCTCCACTTCTCCTCTTTGTCCGCCACTTTCACCACCCCTTTCTCCACTTTCCCTCTTTCTTCCTCCCTTTCTCCTCCTTTTTCTCCCCTTTCTCCACCTTTTACGCCACTTTCTTCTCTTTTTTCTCCACATTCACCACCCCTTTCTCCTCTTTCACCACCTTTTTCTTCACTTTCTCCTCTTTCACCACCTTTTACTCCACTTTCTTCTCTTTCACCACCTTTTTCTCTAATTTCTTCTCTTTTTTCTCCACATTCACCCCCCCTTTTCTCCTCTTTCACCACCTTTTTCTTCACTTTCTCCTCTTTCTCCTCGACATCTCCTCTATTCAACCGTTCTCCTGACTTGGACTGAGAAGAGTCTCCGCCATGGTGATGGACTCGGAGCGCAATAGGGAACCTACCAACAGGAAGAAAATATTGTCACCAAAAGGCAATCAGACTGTGATATCGAGAAGTTGATTTAAAAGAGGTTTGCAAAGAAGGTTTGGTAAGCAAGGACCGAGCTTCGTCTTTATGTCAGTTATGTAATTCACTTGAGAAGTTTCCAGACAGACTGCGAGGATTCGAAAGAAAAATTTGATGCCTTTATAAGCAGAGGAGGTGTCACATGGGGAGACATCACAACCAACCGTTAATCATAGTTATTGACTTTTTCAGTTCTGTCTTCGTTCTGTCAAAGGCAAATTTACTTGAAATATTGACGAATGTGCAGAGAGGGACCAGGACACATAGCACCAGGCGTAAAAGTAAACGATGTTACTGTACCGTTCCAAGCATGATCGCTGGAGCATGATGAGGAGTGCGGGCCGATTCGGAGTTTTCGATCTCAAACGTTTAAGCACCGTTGAGTATTTAATTTAGTTTTCGCCAGCAGGCAATACGAAAACACATGGGAACTGGTAACCTACAAGGAGCACCTCAACCTTTATGACGGAGAGAACTCCGATAAAACCAGACCTTGCGAGGCACTAAAATCGTTTCGCCGGACGATTTTTAATCCAAATTTGCACGCATTTCTTATCTATAACTACGGTTCGGTTAACAAATGTTTGCATCAGTCTTTCTCTAGAACAATCCGTATGTGTCGGTCCAACCTCGACTCCCGGGAGAGGGCGCTGAGCGTTAATTTTCTCTCGATGGGACTATTCCACCGTTTGCGACTTAGTAAAAGAGCATTTTGGGACAATTTGGGCGAATATACTTAATCTTCTGCATTTCCTAGTGTTTCATTTCCCAGAGCTAATGACGGACATGAAAAATTAGCAAGTACTGATGTTGCTGGCAAGCTTACCTAAAAATCAATTTAAAAAATGAAACATTGACATTTTATTTAAAAAAAAAAAGGAATTAAATTTTTAAAGAAGAAAGTTTTAGTAGTAGATCTACATTGCATGAAATCTCACCAGTATCGCTCCACAAACATGCCAAGGGTACCATCCAGAGAATTTTTCCACGAGTGACTTGCATATGACCAGCAAGTGGGAACCAGTGGAAGCTTCCTCAGTGCACTGACTGGCGGGGCTCTCATCAGAGAGAGTGCCAAGAGGTGTCCACAACAACAGGGCACACAAACATACAGCAAATACTTGAATGACAGTGGCTGTGACAAACACTGCAATCCACATTGGAGAATTCCATTCCATTCCATTCCACTCCACTCCATTCCATTCCACTCCATTCCATTCCATTCCACTGCATTCCATTCCATTCCATTCCATTCCATTCCATTCCACTCCATTCCATTCCATTCCATTCCACTCCATTCCATTCCATTCCATTCCATTCCATTCCACTCTATTCCATTCCATTCCATTCCATTCCATTCCATTCCACTCCACTCCATTCCATTCCACTCCATTCCCATTCCATTCCACTCCATTCCATTCCATTCCATTCCATTCCATTCCACTCCATTCCATTCCACTCCATTCCATTCCACTCCATTCCATTCCATTCCATTCCATTCCATTCCATTCCATTCCACTCCACTCCATTCCATTCCATTCCATTCCATTCCATTCCATTCCACTCCATTCCATTCCACTCCATTCCATTCCACTCCATTCCATTCCATTCCATTCCATTCCATTCCATTCCATTCCATTCCATTCCACTCCATTCCATTCCACTCCATTCCATTCCATTCCATTCCATTCCATTCCACTCCATTCCATTCCACTCCATTCCATTCCACTCCACTCCATTCCATTCCATTCCATTCCACTCCATTCCATTCCACTCCATTCCATTCCATTCCATTCCATTCCATTCCACTCCATTCCATTCCACTCCATTCCATTCCATTCCATTCCATTCCATTCCACTCCATTCCATTCCATTCCACTCCACTCCATTCCATTCCACTCCACTCTATTCCATTCCACTCCATTCCATTCCATTCCATTCCATTCCACTCCATTCCATTCCACTCCATTCCATTCCACTCCATTCCATTCCATTCCACTCCATTCCATTCCACTCCATTCCATTCCATTCCATTCCATTCCATTCCATTCCACTCCACTCCATTCCATTCCATTCCATTCCACTCCATTCCATTCCACTCCATTCCATTCCATTCCATTCCACTCCATTCCATTCCACTCCATTCCATTCCATTCCATTCCATTCCATTCCATTCCATTCCACTCCACTCCATTCCATTCCACTCCATTCCATTCCATTCCACTGCATTCCATTCCATTCCATTCCATTCCATTCCATTCCACTCCATTCCATTCCATTCCATTCCACTCCATTCCATTCCATTCCATTCCATTCCATTCCACTCTATTCCATTCCATTCCATTCCATTCCATTCCATTCCACTCCACTCCATTCCATTCCACTCCATTCCCATTCCATTCCACTCCATTCCATTCCATTCCATTCCATTCCATTCCACTCCATTCCATTCCACTCCATTCCATTCCACTCCATTCCATTCCATTCCATTCCATTCCACTTTCTCCTCTTTCACCACCTTTTTCTCTAATTTCTTCTCTTTTTTCTCCACATTCACCACCCCTTTCTCCTCTTTCACCACCTTTTTCTTCACTTTCTCCAGGCAAGCTCCAGGCTCCAGGCTCCAAGCTCCAGGCTCCAAGCTCCAAGCTCCAAGCTCCAAGCTCCAGGCTCCAAGCTCCAAGCTCCAAGCTCCAGGCTCCAAGCTCCAGGCTCCAAGCTCCAGGCTCCAAGCTCCAAGCTCCAAGCTCCAGGCTCCAAGCTCCAAGCTCCAAGCTCCAAGCTCCGGGCTCCAAGCTCCAAGCTCCAAGCTCCAGGCTCCAAGCTCCAGGCTCCAAGCTCCAGGCTCCAAGCTCCAAGAGCTTGGAGCTTGGAGCCTGGAGCTTGGAGCCTGGAGCTTGGAGCTTGGAGCTTGGAGCCTGGAGCTTATTTTTCCTGTGAATTGTAAATATGTATTACAAGGGTAACTATTGACTTTTAAATTTATGACGTGAAGTGAATTAATATGATAAACGGCAAGGAGCTTGGAGCCTGGAGCTTGGAGCCTGGAGCTTGGAGCCTGGAGCTTGGAGCTTGGAGCTTGGAGCCTGGAGCTTGGAGCTTGGAGCTTGCAGCCTGGAGCTTGGAGCCTGGAGCTTGGAGCCTGGAGCTTGGAGCCTGGAGCCTGGAGCTTGGAGCTTGGAGCTTGAAGCTTGGAGCCTGGAGCTTGGAGCCTGGAGCTTGGAGCTTGGAGCTTGGAGCCTGGAGCTTGGAGCTTGGAGCCTGGAGCTTGGAGCCTGGAGCTTGGAGCCTGGAGCTTGGAGCCTGGAGCTTGGAGCTCGGAGCTTTGAGCTTGGAGCCTGGAGCTTGGAGCCTGGAGCTTGGAGCCTGGAGCTTGGAGCCTGGAGCTTGGAGCCTGGAGCTTGGAGCTTGGAGCTTGGAGCCCGGAGCTTGGAGCTTGGAGCTTGGAGCTTGGAGCCTGGAGCTTGGAGCTTGGAGCTTGGAGCCTGGAGCTTGGAGCCTGGAGCCTGGAGCTTGCCTGGAGAAAATGAAGAAAAAGGTGGTGAAAGAGGAGAAAGGGGTGGTGAATGTGGAGAAAAAAGAGAAGAAATTAGAGAAAAAGGTGGTGAAAGAGGAGAAAGTGGAATGGAATGGAATGGAATGGAATGGAGTGGAATGGAATGGAGTGGAATGGAATGGAGTGGAATGGAATGGAATGGAATGAAATGGAATGGAGTGGAATGAAATGGAGTGGAGTGGAATGGAATGGAATGGAATGGAATGGAGTGGAGTGGAATGGAATGGAATGGAATGGAATGGAATGGAATGGAGTGGAATGGAATGGAATGGAATGGAGTGGAATGGAATGGAATGGAATGGAATGGAGTGGAATGGAATGGAGTGGAATGGAATGGAATGGAATGGAATGGAATGGAATGGAATGGAGTGGAATGGAATGGAGTGGAATGGAATGGAATGGAATGGAGTGGAGTGGAATGGAATGGAATGGAATGGAATGGAATGGAATGAAATGGAATGGAGTGGAATGGAATGGAATGGAATGGAATGGAATGGAATGGAATGGAATGAATGGAATGGAATGGAATGGAATGGAATGGAATGGATGGAATGGAATGGAATGGAATGGAGTGGAATGGAATGGAATGGAATGGAATGGAATGGAATGGAATGGAGTGGAATGGAATGGAGTGGAATGGAATGGAATGGAATGGAATGGAATGGAATGGAATGGAGTGGAATGGAATGGAGTGGAATGGAATGGAGTGGAATGGAATGGAATGGAATGGAATGGAATGGAGTGGAATGGAATGGAGTGGAATGGAATGGAATGGAATGGAATGGAATGGAATGGAATGGAATGGAATGGAATGGAGTGGAATGGAATGGAGTGGAATGGAATGGAGTGGAATGGAATGGAATGGAATGGAATGGAGTGGAATGGAATGGAGTGGAGTGGAATGGAATGGAATGGAATGGAATGGAATGGAATGGAATGGAGTGGAATGGAATGGAGTGGAATGGAATGGAGTGGAATGGAATGGAATGGAGTGGAATGGAATGGAGTGGAATGGAATGGAGTGGAATGGAATGGAATGGAATGGAATGGAATGGAATGGAATGGAATGGAGTGGAATGGAATGGAGTGGAATGGAATGGAATGGAATGGAATGGAATGGAATGGAATGGAATGGAATGGAATGGAGTGGAATGGAATGGAGTGGAATGGAATGGAATGGAATGGAATGGAATGGAATGGAATGGAGTGGAATGGAATGGAGTGGAATGGAATGGAATGGAATGGAATGGAGTGGAATGGAATGGAATGGATGGAATGGAATGGAAGTGGAGTGGAATGGAATGGAATGAATGGAATGGAATGGAATGGAATGGAATGGAATGGAATGGAGTGGAATGGAATGAAACCGAGTGGAATGGAATGGAGTGGAATGGAATGGAATGGAATGGAAGTGGAATGGAATGGAGTGGAATGGAATGGAGTGGAATGGAATAGAATGGAATGGAATGGAATGAAGTGGAATGGAATGGAGTGGAATAGAATGGAATGGAATGGAATGGAGTGGAATGGAATGGAATGGAATGGAATGGAATGGAGTGGAATGGAATGGAGTGGAATGGAATGGAATGGAATGGAATGGAATGGAATGGAATGGAGTGGAATGGAATGGAGTGGAATGGAATGGAATGGAATGGAATGGAATGGAGTGGAATGGAATGGAGTGGAATGGAATGGAATGGAATGGAATGGAATGGAGTGGAATGGAATGGAGTGGAATGGAATGGAGTGGAATGGAATGGAATGGAATGGAATGGAATGGAGTGGAATGGAATGGAGTGGAATGGAATGGAATGGAATGGAATGGAATGGAATGGAATGGAATGGAATGGAGTGGAATGGAATGGAGTGGAATGGAATGGAGTGGAATGGAATGGAATGGAATGGAATGGAGTGGAATGGAATGGAGTGGAGTGGAATGGAATGGAATGGAATGGAATGGAATGGAATGGAATGGAGTGGAATGGAATGGAATGGAGTGGAATGGAATGGAGTGGAGTGGAATGGAATGGAATGAAATGGAATGGAATGGAATGGAATGGAATGGAATGGAATGGAGTGGAATGGAATGGAGTGGAATGGAATGGAGTGGAATGGAATGGAATGGAATGGAATGGAGTGGAATGGAATGGAGTGGAATGGAATGGAGTGGAATGGAATAGAATGGAATGGAATGGAATGAAGTGGAATGGAATGGAGTGGAATAGAATGGAATGGAATGGAATGGAGTGGAATGGAATAGAATAAAATGGAATGGAATGGAGTGGATGGAATGGAATGGAATGGAATGGAATGGAATGGAATGATGGATGGAATGGAATGGAGTGGAATGGAATGGAATGGAATGGAATGGAATGGAATGGAATGGAATGGATGGAATGGAATGGAGTGGAATGGAGATGGAATGGAATGGAGATGGAATGGAATGGAGTGGAATGGAAAATGGAAGGTGGAATGGAATGGAGTGGAATGGAATGGAATGGAATGGAATGGAATGGAATGGAGTGGAATGGAATGGAGTGGAATGGAATGGATGGAATGGAATGGAATGGAATGGAATGGAATGGAATGGAGTGGAATGGAA